GTTCTTGCCGCCTGTTTACAATCCTGGAAGCTGGTACACACCGCCAATACCACCGGGTATGGTAGTACCGCCGGTTTCGTACTCGGCGCGGCTTACAATCGCCACGGACCGGACGATGCACTGAGGGAAGCCACGCCGAGGCTCGGAGCGCTAAAAGGGGAGAGTACCGGCTCCTGCGAGACCGCCTGGGCGAGCGAAGAACAAGGACGCACTACGGGGTTAAGGTTACGGCCGATGACACTTCGATTATTCGCACGGGCTTCCGATATGCGATATGATTTACTCGGAACCGCGGCGGCCGAGCGGCCTTCATTACGCTCGTTATATTAATCAGCGTAGATTTAAGCGGGTGTTTCATTATTTTCCGGCAAACTACCTCTCATTACTAGGAAAGTGCGGTGCACGCTCTGGGATTACCGGGGCCCTGGTATCCGTGGGATCTCCGGTGGATCCTCCGGATAGAGAGTGGATAGAGAGAACTCTATCTCTGCCCTCCCCCTCCTCCCCTCATCTCTTTTTCTCTATGTTCTTTGTACACGATGGCTTTTATTCGGTGCTTAGATACCGTAGGATATCTCGTAACTCATACTAGGTTCGTCCTTACATGAGTAGGAGGCGAGGGGGTCGATTTCCGATCAGGCCACGGGCGAAGATGACGGCTCCTGATGCGAATGATCGCGCGATGAATTCCGGGCTAATCCTCGATGTTTCGGAAGAAGATACGTCGGTCGGCGATCATCAGGTTTGACTTCGTATGTAGACGAAATAGTCGGTAGGGGTGGGAAGGAGCGTGCGGGAGATTTCTGATAAAAAAAGGAGGAGAGCGCCCGGACACACGGACGGGCAGACGGATGGGGGAAGAGGTTCGCATAGGGACGCGGCGAGAATCGTGTGACCTTCGATCTCGAGGAAACCTCGGGTTCTCCATATCCGACGAATGATGTCGTTCGTTAGCTCGTTCCATCGGGGGCCAGCGGCTCTCAACTCGCCCTCTCTGGAATTCCAGGAGGAGCGGCCGAGGCGATGATATCAATACTCGCGAGATACCGCGGCGAGGGAGGAGCGAGCCGTATCTCGCTCGCGATAGCATTGTGGCGCACTAGCGCTGCTCTACACCGGGTACACTGCCTGCTAAAAGTTCACGTGGACCGCCGGGGAAACGTGATTTAAACACCGACGCACCGAGGATCTGCGAGTGCACCGTGCGCGAATCCGGCCGTTCGGAAGAATCGTTTCCGGAGCGCGAAGTCCGCGCACGTGCCGTTTGTTATTCCATCGGCGAGACACCGGGAATTTCGTGCAATCTCATTAAGCGTTTCTTCGCGCCGCTCGTCCCACCGCTCCCCTCTTCGCCGCTAATCGAGGTGTTGGAGTGTGAAAAGCACCGCGTCACGGTCGAGCAATATGCTGAATACACCGAGCACGCGATCGTTATTTACACCGCTACCATAATCCGAGGCGGTTACGCGCGCTCTTCCGCAACGGCGGGGAAAATCGACTCGGCTTAAACGACGCGATTGCCCCGCGTCGCTGAAACATAAACACGTTCCCGCTGAAATAAGAATGCTCCCCCCCCCCCCC